TCATTATTCTGGGTGAGATCGCCTCCCATTGTATCAGAGCCTTGGTTGCCGTTGGTGACATCATGATAGCCACGCCCTCGGTGTGTGTGTGGTTGTCTTCTGGGTGACCGGAGTAAATCACTGACTCACCTGTTGACAATTTGGTGAGTCCGTTTCCGTTCCATCTGCTTTCGCAGATCCCCAATACTTGTATTCCGTATCTCCTCATTTCGCTTGCGATCTGGGCAGCTTTGCCAGTCTCGTACATGGTGCGGACATTCCATGTCCCCACACAGACTTTTTCTTTTGACGCAAGGAGATTGTTCACGCTGAAGTTTCTGTAGCATCTTTGTTTACAGGGTGGGGTTGCTGGCCTCACGCCTGAGTTTAGTCTTCGGGTACCTGAAATAGAAAAAAGGTTAGTGTTGCGTGACCGCAGAGCCCAGGGGACATCTGCTTGAGGCCGGTCACACGCGGCCTGGTGTGTCTCAGTAGTATACTTATCACTTCTGCCCTGTGACACGGCAGCAGAAAGCGCGGTCGTTGTTAATCCGGGCCACGGCCGATCCGGCATGATATTTTTCGAATTCGTTTGGTTCATGGGGTTGGATTGATGACGACTAAGTCCAGCCCCCACTGATACCGTCGCCAATGTATCAGTAGGTTGTGAGGTTTGACAAATTTGGTTGGCGCCCGCTGCTACTATCAACGGAGCTACGCTAGGAACGGTGTGACGACCCAAGTTATCTCCTACTGATACCGTCGCCACAGTCATATCAGTAGAAGTCCGGTTAAGCTGCCGGTCAGCCTCGGTTTCCTTATCATTTTGAGCGGGCAAAGTTTGGTTTCGACCGCGTTGGTACACTCACCGGGGCCGCGGTATGCCTCTGGGTGAGAGTGGGATGCACATTTTTTGGGGCCGACCTTTTCTAACCCCCCCTTTCCGAGAAAGGCAGCATGGGGCGCGCCCAGAACCGTGTACCACGGCCTGAACTCATGCTGGTCGCCCGAGGAGAACACCTTACTGCCGCCACATCCCCTACTGCCCCGGCAATACGACTACTTCCTCGGACCAATGATTTACACCCGTTCATATATCTTAAAATGGCACCTCGGGGGGTGTAGCCTTGGGCCATTTTCCAAAAGTACGAAACCGTACCCGTTCATGTCGGACCGGTTAAATTTCCTAACCTCGCTACCATGTGCTATGTATCCCTAGTGGATGAGAGAGAGAACTACAACTAATCTTACCTTACTATTCCGTTACCATGATGTATCGGTGAGGCGGTGAAGTGATGATACCTGCTGTCAAGCGATCGTCAAGTTTCAGCTCCCCGTTGCCGATAACATCGTGGATGAAATGAACGAGCATGTTCACCCTAAGAAACGCTAAAATAGGAGGATAACTGCTGAACTTAAAGAAGCCATAGCTCCGCAACCGTAAGTCCTACAGGGACGAGACAGGTGCCAATCGATTCGTCTCGTTGAGAGGAATCCAATGGTATATAAATCAGAGGGTAAAAGCTATTCCTAAGAAAAATACGAGGATTTTCCTGCCTAGCAGTCTCTGCCCCCCTGCTGCCCTATGGTTGGTAATGCCCCCTAGCTACATACACAACGGCATACAACCTGAGGTCGCGGAGCTAAAAGTGTCAAGAGAACAGCCAGCGGCATGAACTCTAGGCCTAGAAACAGGTTTCCCCTGTAGCCTTTGAAAAAAATTCCCTATTCGGCTGAGGAGAAGCTATAAGGTGCGATACCGGTACCAATGGGTAGATCTCGTCGAGAGCTATCCATTGATATATAGCTTCCCTAAGTCCTAGCCTCCCTAAGAAAATTTAGGCAGCATAGTCCCTAAGGGCACTAGCCCACCCTATTCGGCTGAGGAGAAGTTATAAAGTTCGAAACCAATGACAAGTGAATTGAAATCAAAAATGTTTTAAAAATGTCAAATGTTGTCTAAAAATTTCAAATAATTAGGAGTACGATTACGATAAGAATGAAGATGTTTTAATTATCGTTATTCTTATCACAGCAATTATTCAGTGCCACTTAATAACCTTTTCTGTAATATAAATATGAC